TATTCACACTCTGATGGTTAACGTTAAACTTTATTTACACTGTGATGGTTAACGGTAAACTATTTACAGTCTGATGGTTAACGGTAAACTTTATTTACACTCTGATGGTTAACGTTAAACTTTATTTACACTCTGATGGTTAACGGTAATTAATCAGCGGTTCAGATAATAATGAAAATAAATATGAAACAAATTTGAAATCGTACCCTCTAAAGTAAAACATACATCTGATTTAAGTTGAAATCGAACGTTATTACTGAGCTTGTTTAGATGTGAAGTGTCATCTGATGTTTTCTGACCCTCGGCCTCTTTGTTTCGTGTCCTGCAGGTGAAAGCAGCTCTGACAGAAGAGAAGAAGTTCCAGCAGCACATACTGGGCCAGCAGAAGAAAGAGCTGACCAGTTTACTGGAGTCACAGAAACGACAGTACCGCCAGCGCAAAGACCAGCTGAAAGAGGTCAGAACCAAAACACACACAGGTAGAAATCACTGCTGCACGACCAAGAAACAGTAGAATAAGTCGTTCTTCTTCGTCTGAACAGGAGCTGAGTGAGAACCAGTCGACCCCGAAGAGGGAGAAGCAGGAGTGGCTGATCCGTCAGAAGGAGTGTCTGCAGCAGATGCAGGCGGAGGAGGAGGCCAGCCTGCTGCGGAGGCAGCGGCAGTACTACGAGCTGCAGTGTCGCCAGTACAAGAGGAAGATGCTGCTGGCTCGACACAACCTGGAGCAGGATCTGCTGAGGGAGGTACGGACTGTCACTTCAAAATAAAGGTCCTGCTCCTCTATGAAACAGAACCATGATGACTAGAAGTAGAACTAGAACACGTCTTTAGTGCAGAACAACAGTTATGATGACACCAATCATTAAAAAAGAACAAAAACACAAGTTGAATTTCTTTGATGATTTATTTTACTAAGTCCTAAATTATCTTCTAGATAGTTATAAAACGAGGCAAGTTTACTTTAATTTGACTTGAGAATAAATCTGATTGACGTCAACAACACGCTGATTTAATCAGATTTTATTCATCATAAACGATCATAAACGTATGTGGTTATGTTTTGGTAAAAACTCGTCTTATTCTGTAGAACACAAATACTCCAAGAACCACGTTTTAAATTAGATGATTTCCTGAAATCGTCCGCTGATACTTTGTAGGAACATAAAAGACAATTTAACGCTTCTTATTCTCCGTACTTCTTCTTCTCTCCCTCCTCCCGTGTTTCCGCCGGTCCTCCACCAGGACCTGAACAAGAAGCAGACCCAGAAGGACCTGGAGTGCGCCATGCTGCTGCGGCACCACGAGTCCACCCAGGAGCTGGAGTTCAGGCAGCTGGGCTCGGTGCAGCGGACCCGGGCCGACCTGATCCGAACGCAGCACCAGACCGAGCTAACCAACCAAATGGAGTACAACAAGCGCCGCGAGCAGGAGCTGAGGCAGAAACACACCGTGGAGGTCCGGCAGCAGCCCAAGAGCCTCAAAGTAAGAAGGGAACCTGAGACCAAGTGTGGAGAACTTCATGGTGATTCAACCCTCTGAACCCCAAAGCAGCGCCAGTCACATTTCACTCTCTGTGGCCTTGATTGTCACATGACTGTTGGTCTCAGATGAATCAATCATGACTTCAGAGTTTCACTGAGGAGCTCACAACTTAATGTTTCTACACAATCTGTCAAAACAAAAGGTTTCTTTGTGGTGAGATTTAGATGTAGAATAAAATGTGTTTTTTTTGGCTGCTTTTTCTGACATAAGTTGATCGCACATGATGTGTTCAAGGACCATCAGAACGATGAAACTGATGATAATGGCGGTTTTTAAAGATTCTAGCTTTGATTGTTTAAAGAAAACGTGCTTCTCCATCCCGCTGGTGGGTTGTGTGGTTCAGAGGGTTAAGAATCCGCTTCAGCTCTCAAATCAAACATGGCTCCTTTTAAACTTCAGCATGTTGATTTAATTCAGATCAAATCAATAAAGCAAATATCAAAAGCCCTCACTGATTGTAATTAACACCTTGTTTCAGTCCAAAGAGCTGCAGATCAAGCGTCAGTTCCAGGAGACCTGTAAGATCCAGACCCGTCAGTACAAAGCCCTGAGGAACCACCTGCTGGAGAGCACTCCCAAATCTGACCACAAGGCCGTCCTCAAACGCCTGAAAGAGGAGCAGACGCGTAAGCTGGCCATCCTGGCCGAGCAGTACGACCACTCCATCAACGACATGCTGTCCACACAGGCTGTGAGTAAGGCAAGGAAACCCCGCGCACCTGCAGCACCTTCGGCACCCGAACCTCAACACAACCGCAGAACCAATAAATTACTAATTCGTAGAAGTCCCACGAAAATATTTTGTATGTTATCAACGTAATCATGAATGAGGAGTTGTTCAATGTTTTGGTCACGTAACATGCGTGACATGCGTAACGTATGCGTAGCGTATGCGTAACGTATGCGTAACATATGCGTAACGTATGCGCACGTATGCGTAACGTAACACGCCTAACATAGTAACATGCCTAACGTAGTAACATGCGTAACACGCCTAACGTAGT